GAGGCCGAGGCAGGTGGATCACCTGAGGTCAGGAGTTCAGGACCAATCTGGCAAACATGGCGAAACTCCGTCTTTACTTAAAAACAAACAAACAAACAAAAAAAAAAAAACAAAAAAACACAAAAATTAGCCGGGGGCTTGGTGGTACGTGCCTGTAGTCCCAGCTACTCAGGAGTGTGAGGCAGGAGAATCGCTTGAACCCGGGAGACGGAGGTGGCAGTAAGCCGAGATCCGCCACTGCACTCCAGCCTGGGTGACAGAGCAAGACTCCGTCTCAAAAAAAAAAGAAAGAAAAAGAAAAAGCCAATTGCCAGTAGCTGCGGGACTAATTTGTTCTATTCTGAAAGAAATAAAGAGAAAAAGTATCCACCAGTGTCTCTATTTCATTCATATCGTATAGAATGTTAGCAAACTCTAGAGGCTTTTCTATCAGACTCTGTGTTTGATAATTTGGCATAATCTAGATTTACCTGACTTGATAAATGGAGTCAATTCAGTTCCAGGATGTATTAATAAGTGGCATACAAGAAAGTTTCTTTATAGTCTCCAAACTTAATAAAGAACCCCAAAGAACTACTTTAATCTTTACCTATGGTAATGTACTTGTCTCAAAAAAGAAAATAAATCAGTTTTTGTGTATTTTTACAGTGTTTTTTGTATTTATGGTATTAAAATTAAATTTTGGTTAGGTAAGTAATTAATGAAAACCTTTTTCTAGTTTCTTAAAGTAGGTTATTAGGTCACTAATTTTAATCTTTTCTTCTTTTCTGACGGAAGCATCTAAAGTTGTACAAATAGAAACATGGTAGCTAAAGCTCAAGTCACCCTTAACCAAACTCTATACCTTGTGCTTCCACCAATCCTGGTCCTTGGCGCTTCTCAGAAATGATCAGACTGGTGTGTTTTCTGCCAGTTTTATTTTTATGTATTTACATACCTGCGTATGTTTTTATAGAAAATACATAGTATTTTGTGAGTATTGTTAAAATACTATAAGGATCCACAACTTCTTTGATTTACTCAAAAATACTTCTTGAAGATCTACCCTTATTAGTTTGTGTAAGTCTACTGCATTCTTCTAGTTTTGAGGTTTTGCCTTCAAGTTTAGTATTTACTGTAATTTTCTGGTAGGTATACTTTATGAAGTTTTTTAAAGTTCTATTTTTGACTTTCCAAAAATTTTTTATTGTTTTAAATTTTAAATGAATGATAAATATCAAATACTTTTCTCTGTTTATTGAGATGACCATATAGTTTTTATTCCTTTATTCATGTAGTGAATGATGACACATTGTCAAATGTTGATCTGTCCTTGGATTTCTGACATAACTACTGAGTTATGAGTACCTGTTTGGTCAGATCCTGTAGGTTTTAACATATGCTATTGTCATCCCACATTATTTTGAAGTATGTTTTAAAATTTTTTAGATAGCATTTGCCTGTGAAAACATCTGGGCTTGTAATTTTCTTTCATAATGAATTCAACTTATTTTAAAGATACGGGACTATTCATAATGTCTGTTTCATCTTGTGTTGTTTGGTAAGTTATATTTTTATGGAATTTGTTCATTTTGTCTAAATTGTCAAATATCTTGGTATAAAGTTGTTTATAAATACCGTCTTACTAGCCTTTTAATGTCTGTGTGATCTGTTATAATAGCCCATTTTTGTTCCTGATTTTGGTGGTTTGTGTTCCCTTCTTCATCAGTGTAATTGAGGGTTTGTCAGTCTTCAAAGAAACAGCTTTTGGCTTTATTACTTTTCCCTGCTTAATTTTTATTTTGTTGACCTCTGTTCTTGTCTTTTTTCTTTCTTTTTTTATTTTTAGTGATGGGGTCTCACTATGTTGCCTGAACTGGTCCTCAAGTGACCCACCTGCCTATGCCTCCCAAATCATTGGAATTACAGGCATAAGTCACTGTGACCAGTCATAGTCTTATCTTTAGTATTTTATGTTTTCTACTTACAGTGGGTTTATTTTTCTCTTCTTTTTCTAGTTTGTCAGAATAAAATATTAGGTCACTGATTTTGGTCTTTCCTTCTTTCATTTCTATAGAAGCATCTAAAGTTATAACTATCCTTCCAAGCATTACTGTAGCCAAATCTCAGGAATTTTGATATGTTGTATTTTCATTATCATTCAGTACAAAATATTTTTAAAATTTCTTTGTGATTTATGTTTTTAATCCATGAAATATTTAGAAATGTGTTTTTAATTTCCAAATATTTGGGATTTCTAGATATCTTATTGTAACTGGTGTTTAGTTTAATTCTGTTGTGTCCGAAAACATGAATGAGTTCAATTCTTTTAAATTTATTGACTTGTTTTATGTCCCAGCATGCACTCTATCTTGGTGAATATACCGTGTTCAGGTAAAAGGAATGTGTATTCTGTAGTTGTTGGGTTTAGTGTTCTATAAATATCAAGTAGGTCATTGGTTCATAGTGTCTTTTAAATCATCTGTGTCTTTATTGATTTACATAACATTTTAAGTACAGATGAATGAAGAATGACAAATTGACAGTTTTATAATATATCATAGATAGCAAGCAAAAGATTGGCCATGATGGGCATGGAGATGTGCTGCTATCCAAAATTACTCTCTTCTTCTGACTCTTTTTCCCACTTCCTGTTGTTTCCAGTTTCCCCAAATACTTTACCCAATTGAAGATAAGAATGTATGTGCTGTGTTTTTCCATTTAAAGCCCATTTATGCTATAAATTACAAAAATACTGTGTAGGAAAAATGTTCTTTTTTGAAAAAAGGTATAGCTCACTGCAGCCTCCAACTCTTGGGTTCAAGCAATCCTCCCTCCTTATCCTCCCCAAGTAGCCGGGATTACAGGCACACACCACCATGCCTGGCTAATTTTTTAATTTTTAATTTTGTAGAGATGGGGTCTCACTATGTTGCCCAGGCTTGTCTTGAACTCCTGAGCTCAATCAGTCCTTCTGCCTCGGCCTCCCAAAGTGCTGAGATTACAGGCGTGAGGCACAGCACCTGGCTGGTAAAATCATCTTTAACATCAGTGTCCTAAATATCTATAAATAGGGCATGTATGCCTGCACAGATTGTAACTTCCAGAGCTCAAAATGAGATTAACTTGATTTTTAAATAATTTATTGAACTCCTACTATGTCCCGAGCTCTAGTGCAGGAGATAGATACTAAACACATAAATAATGTCAGACAATGATTAATGCTGTGAAGAAAATAAGGCAGGATAATGAGAAGAGAGTGGGCTGGATATCTTATGTAGCCTTTCCAGAGCCACTGTCCACACCCTGGGGGATTGACTGGCTTGCACAACAGCAAGGTCCCTTGTCTTCCTGCTTCCAAGTGGATTTGACCAGTGGAGAGCACTGGCAGGGAACTTCAAGAATAGAGGAGAGTGAGGTGCTGGTCTCTGTGTACTGGCTGTATCCCAACCTAAGGTCCTCTCCATGTAGTCTTCTGTGTTCCCGGGTTTCATTCAGGCCTATGGATGGTAACAGCACTCTATTAACTGCCAACTCCATGGTTCTATACAATCTCCCTGTGGTTTCCCTTCATTCTGTCCATGCTGTTACACAATTATTTTCAAATGTCTTATTTTGCATGTGTTATCTGTTTCCTGCTGGGACCCCACTCTCTTTATGTGGGTCACATGGTGTGGGATTAGGGGTAGCAATTTTTGATAGGCTGATGACACAAATGACTGAGACCTAAATGACAAGAATGCAACAAACTTGAAAATATTCATGGGGAGATTCTCCCAGTGGGAAATGCAAAGGCACTGAGGTAGTGATATGGTTTGGATGTTTTTTTCCCTCCAAATCTCATGTTAAAATGTGACCTTCTGTGTTGGAAATGGGCCTAGTGGGAGGTGTTTGGGTCATGAGGGCAGATCCCTCACCTATGGCTTGGTGCTG